GGGGGGGGGCGGGGAGGTGCGGTTTTTGCAAGGGAGTTACAAGCGGTTCAGGCCGGGTTTGAGGAAGGGTGGTTCCATTGTCTGGGTTGAATGCTGCGCGCAGCTCAGTCTCGTTTCATGGGTGGTATGATAACCCCGACGGAAGTCAACCCCGAAATGAGTGCCAAGCTTAAGGCAGAAAAAGAGAGGAAAGCGGCGTTGAGAGCACAGGCTCAAGGAAGCATAATGGACAAGTTGTTAGGCCGCTTGGGATCGGGTGCGAGGCTCTTCTAAGGGATGGCGGAAGGGGCTTCTTTATTTAGTTTGAAGTTACGAACTCCGAATGGCCGTTCTGCGAACGCTTAAATAAGAAATGCCCAGGGAATGGAATGCGTATGTACACTGCAATGTCTGAGATTTTTTATGTGCCGCCGACATGTCCTACGCGCGCTGCTGTAGTTGGCGGGTGTCTACGGATGTTTAATGACATTGTGCGTCACGGAACACAGAAAGCATGGAGCGAAGTGCCCAACCCAAGCCGCACAGGCTTGAGTTGGGCATCAGCATAGGTGGTGCTGAACGCCTGGCTTGTGGAGGCTGCCCCCGGTGTCTGTTTTGCAGCATATTTCCCTACAGAATTGTTGATTGAATACTTCGACAGGGCTGAGTTATGTACTTCTGCTCGTATCTGTATATAGTCTTGCTGCGCATGCGGCTGTGGAGGGGTGATCTGGCAACATCCAGATTCGCTTCTCCTGGAGGGGGAACTGCGGATATCCCTACCAAGTGTCTCGTCCAATCGATGCAGAGAACGCACAGCAGAATTTTGTCGTCGCTTTGCTCGGCTGGTTGCATTGAAACTTGGGATTTTAGTTGAACCTTTTGTGGCAGCCTCTTGTGGACGTGGTGCAGATCTCCCGCAGTGTTTGAGCGGAAAGGCCGCATGAAGGTATTTATTTCGCACTGTAGTAGGAAGACTATTAAGGTCAAAGTAATAGGCGTATGGTGCAACAGATTAGAAAGCTGCGGCCGGTGCGCTGTATGAGGGGGGGGGTTGGCGTCTATCCTGCCAACGTGGTTTCTCTACGTAGCCCCGCATGCCTAACTGTGCGCGTGTGTACCATTTTGTCCTCATTGCTGCTGCGAAGATGGGAAGCTGACTATGGTACGCGGTCTTATGGGGGCAGTGCTTCCGCAGGGGGGTGCTTGCTGCCGCCACTTCAGCTGCTGACGTCCCCGTTCCGCAGCGTTTTGTTTGGTGGCCCACTGGGCGATATACGATGTAACACTTAATTGTTCAAGGGGCCCCATGTGACTTCATATGGGGTCTGCAACTTTGCCCGCGTAGGAGTGAAGAAGGCCGCACGCCGCACGGTTACGTCACTTTGCCTCAAGTGCAGTTGTTGCTAAGCTATATTCACATTTTCCTGAGTGACTAACAAAGCTTAATTCCACTATTGTCGAACGCTGTTGTTAGATCGCTCTGAGACCTAAAATACCTGGTAAAATGGGGTGCGGTGGAGGCCAACTGTCCTTCGTGAAGCGTGGCTGGATGGGCCCTTGAGCGGTTCAGGAGCTCGGGCTGAATACACTGCAAGTCCAAGGGAATAAGACCAGTTTTATACTTATTTAAATAAATTAAACTCAGATGCAGGTTATATGGTTCGTGTCTTGATCAGAATAAAGAATTTAGCTGGCCGCCTGTGCAATGAATGGCCTGGTCCTCTACGACTCAGGCCCGTAGGGCATGCGTTTGCCGCTAATGGCTCACTTCCTAGAACCCTTAGAGGGAAAAATGTGAAAAACATTGATGTTTAACTTTTCTTTTGCGGAGAGGAAATTCGATGCACGGAAGAAGAAAAGAAGCTGGGAAATTGTCAGAAACGCGAGCCCAGCTCGACCTCAGCGACTGTTGGCGCCTAAGACTGCAGTTGCCTTCTTGAACACATCGTTCATATATTCGAGTATCAGGAGGGTTCATGTGAATTTCTTTTTGCCTTTTTCACCATAAAAGCCGCTAGAAGATGGCAAACCGAATCTCAGCTGATGCGGCCTGCGCGTTCGACGGGATGCTCCCTCCTACGGACTCCGCCGCATTTTTGACCCATTTTGACTTTTCCGCTATAGATGAAATGGACCCCTCCCTGGGCAAGTCATATATGGCCATTGTACTGCTGTTCATTGACTGCATTACCCCTTTTATCGCCATTGCCTTCCGCTGCTTAGCGGTGAAGCTGTCCCTATGCCCTGAAGTCTGTTGTGCCGCTTCACCTGTGCTTACCCCGCGGGCCTACGCAAACAGCAAGGAGCACAGGTAATAGACGAGTGAAGAATTGATAGCTGTGGTGGGGTGTGTGGTGTTCTATTCTCGCGTTCAGCAGACGGCCATATTATCCTCTATGAACGAGAAGTTCCCTGCGAACTTCGCATGCAGGAGGGTTCTAAAGCACCTCAGGATGTGGGAAGGCTCGAACCTATCAGGGTGAAAGTTCTAATTCTGGTCAGTATTGTCCCAGAATGACAAGCTCACAACACAGCCAAGCCCACTAAAAAGCACGCGCCGGGCACAGGGACAAAGGCCCTGCAACCTCACCACGAGACTGCGACAACTCCTTCAGAGTTTTCGTGGGCACTTGTCTTCTGACGTTCTGAGAAGGGTGTCATTGTGGTGGTCTGTAGGGGGAAGAGCCAAATCCTCAAGAAGTGCGGATCGAGCTCGCCAGCGAGAACGACTTGTTTTTCCATTACACCCATGTGTATGCACACCCTAGTGTCCCTGACTGCTCCTGAATATTCTATGGAACTCCACTACAGTGTCCCACTAAATCTCGTTCCAGGAGATGCTCATCAGCGAACTGCTCTTCGCTTATTTTTCAGCTGTTGCGCGCAGTCTCCATGTGCGCTACAGGGTAGATGAAAAGGCTTTTCGGCAGATGCAACAGAGCCAAAAGTTGATGATTGAATTCGCAGATTATCCGCACGTCCTGATGAAGATGCTCAACTCTTGCATCAGAGAACCTCAAAGGTACGCATATTACGTCACTCAACACTTGTCTTGGGGATTGTTGCTTCAGTTTCGCGTGTCAGTACAAACGCCTTTGTGTCCGTTTTTGCCAACAGTAGTATCGGCTGTGTGCTTTTATACTTGGATCAAGGGGAAAGGACAGGAAACTGCAAGCTTGTACATAGCGAGAGTGAATGAATGCTCGTAGCCGCTGGTATGTGTTGTGTCGGTTCCTATTTCCCATACAGTTTCCTCGCCGTGTTTGTAATGGAAACGACGGGGAAAGGCCGACTGGACTTTATTCAGGTACGACCAAGGTGCTGTATGAATGAGGAAGGTTTTGCATGCACTTTTTCTCGTGCATCCTGTGTGACATCGGCATGGGTATTTCTTATGCTTGCGTTTTCCACGCAGAATATGGAATACAAGTTTATTGAGCTTTTGTCCTGCGAATTCCACCAAAGTTCAGAGGAAGTGATTCGGCAACAGATGTCTTTTCGCTACAACGCACTCAAGTCGAAGCTTGCCCTTATGCATGTGAGTATCGCTTGTTCTTCCATCTCCATCACGAATTGAGAATACGGGGCTACGAAAGGCTACTGCATGTGTTTTCTCTGTTGTGAGGCTCTACAGGCCAGACTGCACGACATAGGAGCGCTCGTCAAGGTCAAAAGCCCTTCGCTTTTGCTACATCTTCAAAAGTCTGCTGCCCATCAGCTGCAGACCAAACGAAGCGGGGTGCGCGGCCCCGCCCTGAACACGAAACCCTAGGAATGCAATACCCTCAAGGAAGCTTTGGAGTAGTCGCACTAGTATGGAGGTGCTGCAAGATGATGCTTTAGAAATTGACATGCCAGGAGCACAAAGACGCTGGACACCTCAAGACTGCGCCAGGACCTTCTGGCTGACACCGGAGAGCCTGGTGACGATAACGCATAGAGTTTTACCAGCCGCCCGCATCTACTTCTCGGAGCTGCATCTACATCATGGACCATGTGGCAAAAAGCTCATTGTAGATGGCATTTTTTGTGAAGGGGAAATATGTTGTGGTGACTGCAAAGAGCTTTGTCCTATTGTCAATTGGCACTGGGCTTCCAGTTCCAACAAGGCGCCCAAACTTGGAGAGGTTGCTACATCCGCCTCTCTGTTGGCCGTCTTACTGCCAATTAATAAAATTATGCTTGAGAGGGGACCTTCTGTTTATTTTTTAGTTTACTGGATGAAAAAATCGGCCTCTCTTGCAAGGCGCTTGGAGGACGTCTTTGCGTCCTGAAACAGAGCGTCAACTTCCTGCACGTGCCGCAGGTGAATAACGGGTTCACCTAACTCTGCGTTGTCACAGTCTTCGTCTGTAATGTCTGCCTGGGCCAAAATGGCGGCGGGAGTTAGAAGGTGCACTGCGTAGCGCAACGACGTGCGGACTCCGACGGCCGCCAACACCTCGGCAGCCTCCTTGCTCAAAGACAGCCCTTCTGCACGGCAGCGAATGTCCAGAACCTGGCGTGCGCAGCACAGTAGACCCGCTTGACAAGCGCGTGCTGTGGAGTTTCCGCCGGAAGCAGATGCTGTCAGCGCTAATTCACCTGGCCTTCGTTGGGCCATTGCCAGTCCAAGGGCGGGGCGGGTGTGATCTGGTGCTACAGCAACCCACCTCTTTTATTTCTTCCTCAGAGTACTGCTGTGTACGGACAATAAGCATGCGGTCCAGCAAATCTACAGGAACCCCGTGCGAGCTCATGACGTCCGTTCCCCTAATGGTGCAGACGCCTCGATTGGTGGCGACGACGACCACAGGTGACAAAGGGCTTTCAAGTGCGCGGTTTAAGTATGTGAAGCATTCCACGTCCAACATGTGCACCTGACCACATTCAGGCCAAGAATACTCACGAAATTTTACCTCACAGGAAATAGAGGCAGCTTTTGTCCTCTGAAGTTGCAGGACTGGAGAGAAAACTGTGTACATTCTTTGGGTGAAAAGCAAAAGCTTTTCATGGACCTGCCAAATGCATGGGGTCTCGGAGCCCAGAATAGTCAACATGGGATAGCTGAATTGCATCTGCAGCAGTGGCCCGGTCGTAAGACGGTGAGGTAGATGAGGGGCGGGGGTGTTGCAGTACCTCATCAATAAACAAGACTCCGGGCACCAGCTCAGCAACTCCTTGGTCGAGGTACTTATTGACGACTTTGTTAATTTCTTGTCGAAGTTTCTCTGTTATCTCCGTTTTCCGTGGCTTGGAAAAATGCCCTAGGAGAGATGCCAGGGGAGCGCCGCCAGACGGCTTGGCGTTCGCGGCATCTAAATCGTGCAGAGTCACATCCTGAAGACATAATCGAATATGCATGCATCACAGAACGCTAAATGAACCGAATTTTACCTTGCTTTGGGGGGCTTCACACTGTTACGTGGCAGGAAAAAAATGCGGGCACCTGTATAACCTCTTTTTTCTTGTGGACGTCGCCTTTTGGAATTGGCACAAACTTGTCAGTTTCCAGATCGAACTCTCCAGCAAACTCTTCGCTGCGTCCGACTCTGCGCACCTGGCCCGTGGCGGCTTCGACATAAATGACATCTCCTACCGCAACTCTTTCCTTCTTCAGTCCTGAGGCAGTTGCACAGGCAGGCGTCAAACCCATCAGAGTTTTGGAGTTTGGGTACTTGCGCCGCATGCCCCCTCACTAATGAATGATACGCATGCCGAAGGGTCTACCACAAAAAGGGATGTCTCAGCTGACCCTGATTGATGCTGGAATGCAGGCGCAACGTTTTGGATCCTTTGCTCGTCTTTAGTGTGATTCGCACGGGAGGGCAAGGAGCTTCTTCGTGAGGGTCGCTCCGTGACGAGTTCTCAGGAGCAGTTAGCATGTCGTTGGGCTCGTCCGTCTGCAAGAAGAAATCCGAAGGGCCTACTGCTTTGCGTTCGGCGCCATACCCCATAGTGATAAACCTCATAAACGAACCAACTAGGCGCCTCAACTCACCAGGCTGACCACCTGCCCTTCGAACACTTCCTTTACTTCCTTTATCTTAATCCCGATGGCCCTGCGGAAGTTTTCCATGAGGACTTCTGTTTTCTTTACTTCACTTGAGTACACCTGGGCAACCATACGCGAAAAATGATTGTTGTAGGGTATATAGAAGGGGACTAACCCGTGGTTGGTAGGGAACTCCGATTCTGATTTTTTGTCTTTTTCTGATATTCATTTTCCTCTCTTGTGGCTCTGGAGCATTTTTACTTCAGCTAGTCTTAATTCCACGAACCTCGCTCGCTACCATGGGGCAGAACGGCACTTTGCTGCCGAGCTCCTGAGCGATTGCCATGGCAATTGCGGTTTTTCCTGTGCCTGGTGGCCCTGTGTATGCCAAAAAATAGTTTTTTTGCCTCTGCTCAGCGGTGTGTGGGCTCCTTGGCATGCTTGTGTGGGGTTGGATTAGCGACAGGTGTGAACAACTGGAGAGGACTCCTCTTCGCCTGGGGTTCAATTTTACAGGCTCCGGCCTCTTCACTCACCAGCTAGAAGTAGAGCCTTTCCAGCCATGCGCTTATTCCTTATGAGCTCAACGATGAGACCCGCTGCTTCCCTTGCTTGGTGTTGCCCTACCTTCGCAACAAAAACGCAGATTCTCTTACAAGATGGCAGTCTGTCTTATAACGTGTTTTAACGCGTTTTCCTGCCCATCCGTGATCGACATATCGGCTCCTTGTTCGTTATTTGCAAACTGTTTGGATGTGCTGTGCGTTTTCTGAGTTCGGAAAACGCACAGGGCTGAAGAGACCCAAACGAGGCGCCGACTGTGGTGCAAAAGCGCAAGGGGGTTTGTTGATCAAGGAATATTGCAAAAGCATGGACTTTTGAGGCTGACCATGCCCATATGGATGTCTTTGGCCGATCCATCGGGAAGGAGTCCAAGGCCCTTGATGTGGCTATGCGATGCCACGCGCTGCGCATGTTGAAGTGAAGTGACCTCTTCAATTCTCATTTTCTGTCAAAATGTCTACGAGGGGGCGAAGCCTAGTAAATATAAGTGGTTGTGCCAACCAATCCCTGCCCGACAGCTGCTGTTCAAGTGTGGTTGACCAGAATCTCCTGGCTGAAAAGAGTGGATCAATTATTGTCAATTGGAAAGCCAACCCCTTGGGCGTCCCTGAAATGTTTTTCAAGCTTAAATTTAGCCCAACTCTCCCCAGAACTCCCTCCTTTTGCCTCGCACCAAAGGCAAGATATAATGCGTCTCCTCCCCGGGTGACCCTAGATTCGATGGTTCGTCAGAGGGTAAGCTTTACTCGGCAGCAGGCAAATGCAAAAAGATTATTAAAAAAATAACTGTAAACAAGAATTTCGCCATGCCTCGATTTGCGCTTCACCAAAGCCTTGTAACCTCGATCGACTGCTCACTGTGTGCTGTCGCTTGCGGCTGGGGACCGACGGGATCAGATGCCAAGGAGTTTCATTTCGCCCGAGGTCTCGTAGAAATCCCAGAAGTGCCACGTTACCCCAAAAGTATTGTAACCTGCTGAGAGATAGACGACTTTGATTTGCACTGTAAAATGGATACGCCCTGGCCAGCCAAGTCCAGGGTGACAGGCACTGCATTGTTGTCAATGACTTGCCCCGGACCACGGAGCAGAACATCTACTCGCCTAAAGCATGAAAATATGAAACTGGATTACGAGTGATAATATGCTGAAGTAAGTGGACTTCATATACTGGATAGCGGCAGGGGCGAGCGCCGCATTCGGCAAAGCATATCAGTTCACTTCTTGCTTAGTTTAGTGAATTGAACCTTAAGAGATCTTTACTTTTGTAAGATTTGGAAGTTACGAAGAGACATAAGTGCGAACTTGGTTGTCGTTAGTAACTTGTTGAAGCTGAACCTAGTTTACCTACCTCGGACCCTGGGAAATACGGAGAGGACTATCCCCCGTTCTGCTTCTCTGTGCGGCTCTATACTAACGATTAGGCCGCCTCCGAAGGAATCTACAGGGAAGGCTGGAACATTCGCCCTGCCACCTTGAAGCATAAAACGGCCAGTTGTCGTCTGGGTACTCCATAATAAGGCTCGTGCCAACTTCTTGCACTCCCGTGTAGTCTGGACAAACATGGCTCATTTTAACCTGTCGTGAGGAAGGTCATCTCTGGTGCAAGTGAGGTCCAGCGCAAGCCAAGTGATCTGGGCCACCCCAGGAACACATGAGCAAATAATTAGAACAAAGCGCCATCGTCGTCGTCGAAATTGCTGCTCTTCGCACGAAATTCGCTGATAGTCACAACATTCGACTTGCAGCAAAACTTTCAAGGGTGTTCGAGCAACTTTGCAGAAGTAAACGGGAGCTAACGCAGGACTCCCAAACCAAGCAGTGACGTTCAGACAAAGGGAGACTCCAAAGAAGCACAGTCACCCTATGGTAACAAAAGCCTGTCTGTCAGCAGTGAAGCCTCGAACAGCTTCCTGCCTCAAGCAAAATGGCGCTTGTTTCGTGGCGAGACGCAGATGAAAGTGCAGGGTTGTTCGTTGGGATTTGTATGGTTTTCATCCATGCTTGACGAAGTATGCAACTGCCTAACAGTTTGCCTTTGAAAGCTGGAGATGGGTATACTTGCATGGACGAAGGCGACCCCTTCAAAGAAACGGGGACTAGAGATAGCCTAGCAACCAAGACATGACTGAGGCGGCTTCATCCGGTCTTTTTTGCACAATGGCTGCGCGTAGTAACTGCGTTGTACACTGGAATGAAACGCGCAACTGCAAGGCGAAACTAACTTTAAAAACATGCGCTTCCCCAAAACGGATGAGCTCTCCATACATATCCCAGGCCCATTAACACAGGAACAGACGCCTAGGGCGAATGAGAGGAGGAGGTGGCCTGCCACGTGTCCCGTATTCCTTGGCGTAGCTACTCCTGCTAGGCAACCCCAGATGCAGGTGTACACAAGCTAATTTTTGATGCATGCATTAGGACCACAGACAATTGAAAAGCACTTCCTTGGATTCAGGAGTCAACCTTCACTCATGTAGGAGTGCACTTACCAACTGCACGTAGCCAGCTATACTTCTACCAACCTCAGATCAAGCCTGATACATACACAACATGACGCAAAGAACACGCTAAGGCGGCCCATCTTCTCGATAGGCGGAAAACTGGCAAGCTCATCGCTGAAAACGAGAATGCAAGGGTGTAGCATTGTCTCTCTGGATTTAGTGAATTAAGACTTACTTCGGCATAGTAGGCAGCGTGCACCCAAGCAGAAGTACAGCTGTATTAGCTGTATTAGTGAAGGCCGAAAAATGGGGTTTCGTTGTGATTCCCTGCGATGGTGCCCTGCATCATCAGTTGCAGGGAGGTGCGTTTCAACTCCTGTCGGGCCGCCTCCAAGCCCAAGGCCCTCGGGCGTCTGTGCCCACAACACCTACGAACTGGAAAAGAGGTGAGATGCTTTCTAGAGGCACTTATCTACAACCTTTTTGGTCGATCTCAGCTCACGACGGTCCGCGGATAAGTTCCCAGACTGGCGCTACTGAGGGTGGCTGCAAGGGCATGGGGAACTACCTGCGCAACTAGTATTCAGGCTAGCATAGTTACTATATATCTTCCAAACCTTTAAAAAATCGAGGCAGCGATAAGGTGAAGGTTACTGTGGGTGAGTTAACGAGCTGGATATCCAGCTATTTCTGGCAAGAGATAAGGTCACTTGCTACGTAGTGGTGTGGAAAATGCTATGACTGAGAGCGGAGCCGGTAATGCGGGGAGGCAAGACCAAGACTTGTGCGCCAAGAATGCCATTATTCTAAATAATGGAGGAAGACGGACACTTACCCAGATGGGGCGAAGAACTAGTGTGTGAGTTATGCAGCAGCGTCCCCATGTCATGTCACGAGTAACAGGCTGAATATCAGCAGGCAGGAGGGGAATACTGGTGCAGCATAAAAAATGTTGAATTCAAGCAAAGGCATACTGAAGAGCGTGCAAGAGGAGTTCGAACATTCCCCCCAGACGCAGTTGCGCGCGTACCGAAGGTAGAGCGGAGCTATCAACAGGGTCCGCATAAAGCAACAGAGGGCGGAACACTATGGGAGATCCAATTGTATCCTTCAAGAAATAACACCCTATTCCAGAAGGGTTGCTCGTTTTGAAGCGCAGCTTCAACAGCTACTAGGCATATCCCGCAAAATTGCACAGTGGTTCCCCAGACACGGATAGCCCCCAAGCAATAAGGGGGCAAAACATAAAAAAACCCGGTGTTCTAAACTTCTAGATAAGAGTGGCATTTGCTTCAACCGTTGGTACATCGGGAACGTTGCTTGTACGCCAATACTTTGAACGCTGAAGTAAGCCGACTGGTTTCAGTCCCGACTCGTTGTTGGAAGCTTCTGAAAGGTTCCTGCTGAAGCACCCTGCTTCTCCAGAACGCAGTTCACTCAAAATTCTGTTTGAGATATGGTTCAGAGCACCTCTTAAGGGGCTTTCTACTTGGTTTTTTCTAGAGTTCCGCTACAAAACTTGTGCCGAAGGAACGGCGTGCGAAGTCAGCAGTCCTGTTCGAGAGCAACGTCTCCGTCGTACCGACAGGGCCAAAGCGAGTTTCTGGAAACATGTCGAAAATCCCCAATAGTAAGCTTACTCTGAGCTTAGCGTACCGCTGGCGTGAAGAGAGACGCCTTAACTCAGACAGAACCGTCTCTAAGAAAGGCGAAGTATGCGTGGGTGGTGCGCATCCCGTGACGCAAATGCGCAGGTTTTGCATTCTTGAATTCCTTGCTGTCTACGGGTTTGTTTAATGAGTGGCGAGTTACATCCTTCACTGACCGTGCGCATGAAGATTTGGAAGTTTCAAGCGGAACATGCACTTTCACCGCTCGCAACAGGGTTGCGCGGCGGTATGGTGAATTGAGTCGAGCACACCCAGAGGGGGATTTTACTGTGTGGAAAGCTAATTTGAGTGGGGCCACTCTTGTGTTCTGCAGATGACTTCTTCCTGCAGCCTGGGAACACTGGTGGCGGAGGGGTCCCGTTTCTGCAAAGTGCTGTTGCATCCCCCTCGGAGAGAAGACTCAGATTGACCCAGCCGGTCGCCGTAAGCGTATCATGCCAGAGCTCAGAAGATTTTGAAGCACAAAGTCTTGATCTGGTTCTCAGAACCCTTAGGACGCTACTGGATGAGAATCCGTTCAAGCAGCTGGTAGTAGGCCTCTCAGGTGAGATGGTGTGAAAGCATCCACCATATTGCAAGTGTGCAGTCTCAGCATGGACTTAGGCTTGTGGTGCTGAAGGGCCACTCGGTGCCTTTTAGGAACTGTTGCGCTTGTTACGAAATAGCCTCTGTCGAGGGCTTGCCATAATCAGGCTTTGTGCCTGGACGTTGCGTGGCAGGGGGCAGCACTCCAGGACCTTTGTACGCAGCACTCAGACAAACAGCGATTGCGCATTCTCAGAGAGAGAAGGGCCAAGTCTCACCTGCGAGCGGGCAACATTGCTCAGGAATATCATCGCACTTAGCCATAGATTTTTCCCGCGTGAGCTTTTTCCTTGTTGATGAGCGCTATGTGCCACCTACGCACCCCAAATCGAATGTCCGCCTGGTCATGGAGGAGCTGTTTGGACAGGAGGTCTGGAGTGATCCGGAGGCGGGTGGCACCCTGAAATTTAGGCAGACAGCTGATTCGTGGCCCCACCCCAGTTTCGATTTCTCTTATCCTGATACATCCTTGCCTGTCGAGCAATGCATTGAGAAGTACAGAGAGGTGGGTTTTTCTCATGATCCAGGGAATTCACTGTCTTGGGTGTGCAAAAGGTAACACTGGATTTACGACTATGCGGCTCGGCACAAATCTCGCGACTGTTGCTAGTAGTAAAGCTGCACTTCACCTCCCGCTGGCCTCATACTCCAGATGTGGTACATACATTGGCCTCTCTAGCCACTTATACTGACTCATTGCAGCAAATAGTAACCAGTAACAATGCTTTACACTTTGATTGTGCGAGCAGACCTTGAACAACTTGCTCTGGAGACACGGCGGTGTGGACATTGTCCTACTAGGCATGGGGGACGACGGCCACATCGCGTCCATCTTCCCACCTCTGAGCACGGCTCAGTATGAGACTGTGATGTGCCCAAATGCCATAGCGGTTCACTCTACAACTGACCGGTAAGGGTTTTCTTGGTTTGGACCTGCCACAGTTCAGAGCTTCGATATGAACCCTACATGCAACTTTGGGACCCGTTGTCGCATTTGTTTTCAACAGTTTTGACGTCCACGACCGTATCTCCGTCAGTCTACAACTGCTTACTGGAGCGAGCCGCAAGGTTTTTCTTATTAAGGGAGAGTCAAAGTTGGACACTTGGTTCCGAATGGAATCTGACCCGGAGCAGGTGCGTTGAGTCCGCGACTGCGATTGACCACGCGAATGGGTATTTGCGGACTATGGCTCTGTGAATAGGTGTGCATTACACTAGTTTAGCTATTGTGAGTTATCTTCAGTCGCCACTCAGGTTTCCGGCCCTGGAAGTAATCAATAGCGGAGGATCGTATGTTGTTTCCTATCCATCAATGGACGACTTTTTTAGAAGACGGAAAGGGGCAAGCAGTGTGCAACTTCGGAAGCATTCATCACTCAATTTGGGCGAAATGCATCATCTTTCGGTGGTCGTCTTTGGCGCTAGTGGGGACCTTGCGAAGAGGAAGACATAGTAAGAATGGCATGCAAGCTTCAGTAAAAGCTGCTTGGGATCTAAAGCAACGGAGTGCCCTACTTCAAGGCTGGGGCTGATGTAGGGAGTGTATGTGAATTTCGGGAAGTCGCAAGAAGGTAGCAGCTGTGCTGTGTCGAACTGCAATTCAGCCCGGCTCTTTTCAGCCTCTTCTGTGAAGGGCTGCTACCCCCGAACGTGCACATCGTGGTAGGCCGCTTTCTCAGGCTACAGAGCTACACAGCCGTTTAGGACCTAAACGATGGAGTTTCGGGGGAGCGCTATTGGCGCTGTATTGGAGCGGTCTTTTTGATGCGCTGATCCATGCGCTTCGTCGGATGTGCTGCTTCTGTGCAGGGGTTTGCCCGTTCAAAGCTAGAGTTAGCCGAGTTTTGGAGACAGATAGCGGAACATCTTACGTACGTAAACACATCCTTTGTATGCAGATGCGAGCAATGCAGGATATGCAGTAAGCTGGCCCTAACGTTGGAGTTTGTGCTTGCAAAATCGCCGTTTTCTTTGGTGCTTCTTGAGTGCGAACTTCAGGGAATTGTCCACATATTTCTCTCGTCAGGTGGCTCCCCTAAGTAGCAAATGCGAGGACCTTGTCCAGCGCTTTAGAAGCATATGCACATACATGTACGCAGCTGTTACGATGCGTTTGTCAAATTCAGCCAGACATGAAACTACCTAGTAGATGCATCAGCACTCCCCAGGGGTTTCACCGGCGTCCAGTGTGGCGCAGACTTGATTCTGACTGCAGAAGTGGAGACGGCTACGATGACGAAGTTGCACTTAAGAAACTGAGCGATCATCTTGATGCTTTAGAAGGTTCAGAAGGGGAAAACAACAGACTGTTCTACTTGGCACTTCCCCCTCAGCTGTTTGCTCTTAATGTGCGTTCAATCAGGAAGCACTGCTGGGCACTAAAGGGTATGCTGCATTGTATTTACCTTACACAATACCTGTGGAGGCGTGCTATTTTAGAAACGGCGTTTTGCACCTTGTGGTGCATCTTCGGTGCAGTTTTGCCTCTGGTTAAAGCTATCCGTGGGCGAATAACTAAGCAAAAGAAAGGTTTGTTCGTTCATCAGTGATCATTCAGCAAAACAATTGTGGGGTTGACTTATGTGCCTCCTCAGGCTGGAACAGAGTGGTGGTTGAAAAACCATTTGGACGTGACAGTGAAAGCTCAGAAAAATTGTCAAACGAGCTTATGGAAGTCCTTCAAGAAAAAGAGGTGAGACAGCGCAGCAGCCACTGGGAGAGTGGGTGCACGGGCAGGTAAATCGCCATCTGCACTTATCAAAGAGGGTTCGCCGCGCGGAGTATTCTGACCGGGGATTTGCCTTTAGATATATCGCATTGACCATTACCTTGGCAAGGAGATGACCCTCTCCATCATTGCGCTGCGCTTCGCCAACGTCGCATTTAAACACGTACGCCTTCTGGCCTGTGGATGAGGTTTCCTACTTGACTGATTTCAGTCCGACCGCCATAGCGATCCAGCAGACTACCACCTTTCACCTTTGCAAGAGTTGCGAATTCCTCTAGCCAGTGTGCATTGATGTGTTCGTGCAGCTCTTTCATAGACACAATGTACGTTGCGTACGTATAACCTTCAAAGAGGACATTGGGACCAAGGGCCGTGGAGGGTACTTCAATAGTTATGGTAAGGCCACAGTGGGCGCTGCAACCTCCGTATACTTGCATGCATAAGCTCAAGGGAAAAAGCGTTTGTATCGAAGCACCCTCTTTAATATATTGCAGGTATCATTCGGGACGTGATGCAGAATCACATGTTGCAGCTGCTGACCTTGATAGCGATGGAGCCTCCTGCATCTCTTAGCGATGAAGACGTCAGAGATGAAAAAGTCAAAGTTTTGAAACAGATGCCTCCAATCAGTAGGTTTCAGCAAGCCTAGTTTTTGCAAAGCTCGAGTATTTATCAACACCTACCAGTTGCTTCTCGTAGGTGTCGATTTTTGCTGACGGAGTTTTTGACATCTCTTTTCACCGTGCAAAATTAATTGCGCGGCCGCAGAACTGGAGGAGACAATCTTGGGACAGTATACTGCGTCTTCGGATGGAGCACAACCAGGTTATCTAGACGTAGGCAAAGCTTCCTCCCTCCTCCTGTCGTTTGTAGACAGCTTGTGTTGGAACCGAATTGATTCCTGCTTAGCTATACTTGGAGCTGCGTTTGCTGTACTGCAGGACCCCGGAGTCCCTCCCGATTCTAGGACGCCTACCTTCTGCACATGCGCGTTGTGGATCGAGAATGAAAGGTGGCGGGATGTCCCATTTATATTCAAGGCATGCTTCCCCCTCAAAACAAAGCTTCTTTACCACTACAGTAGCGAATGAATTGGGGACGACAGCGCCTGCTGCTCCTGCGCTAAAGGGGGTCTTGCTTGTTTTTCCTGATGTCACATCTCCAGGCTGGCAAGGCTCTGGAAAAGCGCTGCACGGAGATTCGTATTCAGCTTCGGCCGATCGCTCAGTCCTTTTACCCTGAGGAAGATCTTTCAGAGAACGAACTTGTCATCATCGTATGTAACGTTGCCCGTATCTTGTTTATTATGAGGTTGCTTTACCTTTTTCTCGGGGGGAAGTATCTGCGAAGACCGTAAGCCACGGAGGCTTTTCTTCCCGTGAATCAGGTTTGCATCTACATGGGATGAATTGCACATCTCTCAGGTACAACCTCGTGAAGCTATTTACCTCAAGTTCTATACGAAGAAGCCGGGGCTTGCCCCAGGACTCCAGCTGACAGAACTAGACCTATCAGGTGTGCTGCTGCTGATGGAAGATCGGAAGCTGTCACGTTGCAATCCTGTAGGCACTTTGCGCTCCATCACATCTGTTCACTTCCTGTTGTTTTCCTCCGCTTGGTGTGACTTAAAGTGATGGACCGGCTGCAGGTGGATAGACTCCCCGATGCCTATGAACGACTCCTCCTGGATGTTATAAAGGGGGACAGACAAAACTTCGTTAGGACTGGTGAGATTGCCAAGCTCGCAAGTCTTCGCGGTGCAGCTTGAACCACGTAATGGGCCGTGCTTCAGCAGAATCCCTGTTCTACTGTTCTGCGGTGCAGATGAGTTGCGCGAGGCTTGGCGCATCTTCACACCGCTACTCAAGCAGATCGATGAACCTGGAGTCAAGCCGGAACCTTACCCTTACGGATCTCATGGACCTGAATCGGCATACACCTTTATCCAGCGCTTCTATTCCTACCATAAGGAGGCGCGATATCAATGGCATGCAAAACACTGAAAATGGCATGCGGGAAAAGAAGCCAACCGTGCAATTGCTGAGAAGCTTCATTGGCGGCCGCGTAATGCCGCAACCATTTCCTTTCGCACCTGCACGAGGCAAGCTGTGGCTTCCCCGTGCGTAGTGTGCTTCGCATGTAGCGTGCGTTCCTTGCTGGTAATGTACAACAAAACGGCACGTGGTACGTTTTCTACCAACATCCGTTCATTTGTGACGTACCAACGACCGGAATTCCGACTTTAGCAAGGGTCAAGATGCTCGTTGACTAGGTTCCGTGACCCCGAGAGTCTGTTTGTACTGCTTAAATGCAATGCTGCCAGCCGTGGAAGCAACGGCCTCAGCCTGTAACGAGCCAAACGAAAGTGGCAGTGATAAATATATGGGTTGTTCACCAACCACGCCACTACGAATTATGCCATTACGAACTGTAAAGTGCTTAGCACCTTGTTTGCTTAGCACCTTTTTGGGCACGTGGACTATGCACGCCTGAGAATGCCGGATTTCGGCGTAGTCCCAGCACTGCTGTGCGCAGTCCTCAACCTGTAAGGGCGCCAGCGTGTGTTTACCAAGTAGTGAATTCATCTGAGCTACAACGACACTCCACGGAGTTTGTTTGGGTTTGCTCGACATTAATTATTATCAGTAAGCAGGGAACGCCGCACGGTAGCAAGCAACACCTTGGTGATGCGTTTCACATTCGTTGCAAGCACGTGCTCCTAGCAAGGGTGAATCTCAACTCCCCCAAAATTGCTGCTGTATAGGCAGGCGGCGAGCTCGGGTAGCCTCGAGCACTCCTACCAGCTCCAAAAGCAGTCTGTTGACCGGGGCCTTCAAGCCAATTGCGTTCGCTTCTCTTATTACTGAACGTTCACACAGCACAGCGATGCGCAGATGGACAGGACCGCGATATCTGAACCACAAAATAAACGCTTACCCTCTCCAGAAATATCTACAAGCTCCACTTGGCGGCCTTGGCGAAGCTGGCCCAAAGTTGAAGATATGTTGTCCATAGACGCACGCGCGACAGTGATGGCAGAGGCACAAGCAGATGCCTGTAAGCACAAGTAAGACCCAAGAGGCCAACACTAGAAAGTGCATTTTACATTCCTCTACTTCCTAGCGTGCTATCAATTCACGTGAACAATAGCAAGTGAAGTGCTAGTGGAGCTCATCGGAACGTACAAACGTCAACGGGATCCCTTTTCCTCTGGCAACTGCCACTACCTCCGAAATCACAAGCTTCCTGAGAAGATGAGTCACACCCAACGCGCAATGGATGAATTCATAGCAACTGCTTGAAGTGGCACTCACTGTGCTTCCTTCCGCATTGTAAGGAGTGCAGCAAGCTGAATACAAACAGATACGCACCTGGCAAGGTCCATCCTGGGATCAACAAGCTGGCCGTTAGTGCAGTTCAGCAAAGCAGCCAGAGGGTTGATGCAGCAGTTTACTGCTGCTTTCTCCCACAGAACTTCGTCGAGTCGCTGATGTGGTACGATTTCACAAGACACACCTGCGCAGCGGACAGTCGCATAACCAAGCAACAGGGCCCGCCTGTAGCAACAAGCCCGGCTGTAACTTCCTCATAGCTCGCAAGCAACGTAGCGGCGAAGCACAGACATCTGGAGTATAACAAGGGAATCTGTAAATCTACGAAAATACGCGAATGACGATACCTCTAGCTAGAAGCATTGCATGCAACTCTTCAGCCTTTTGGCTTGCTCTCTGAAGATACCCGCATATCTTCACGTGGCCATTGCCAACCTTCTGAATACGCATTGGTTCCTGAAAAGATGCATGACACAGTAGTAAGAATGCACTAACTGCTGCCCACGCAGTGTTTGGCGCCCTCCAAGGGCATCCTGCATAGGCTCTTTCGAACAGCGTCCATCTAGACGACAGCTCGGTGTGGGTGGCAGAGCGGAAGAGCAAGGTGGAATAGTCCCCTGAAGAGCGTCATTCGGGGCAGGACCATTCACTCATATTCAATCGGCGGCGCATGCGCCTAGGAGCAAAACCTCCAAATGCGCCTTCCCAGTACTACCGTGAGTCGATCAGAGGGGGCATCTGCTTGTTGTGGTAGCAAACCTCTTCAACGGCAGCAAGGGATGTCGGCATAAACACTAGATGGGGGGAATTTCCCTGAGCACACACGAAATTATTTAATGTTGAATGGAATGTATAAAATATCGCAACGATTAGCGCAATGCAGACTGAAGCAATTGTCTAGCTTACGCCGGACAGCAGCAGCCGATCATGCAGCGATCGCAATATCCGCTGGGACTTCAGTCCGTTTTGCACAGAAGCGACAACCCCTCCGGCTCGTGCAGACTGGAAGGCGCACTCAGCTGCGCAGTCACACGTCAAGTGGGGACAGTAATGCACTACTGGAGACAACAGTACGCTCGTTCTTCGCTACAGTAACTCAACCAAGAAATCTTCACATTGAAACGCAAAACCATCACATCCAATGCGCAAGCGCAACCCCAGGATCTTTGCAAAATTTGACCGCTCAATCGTCAACAACAAAACGTTCTCGTGCTTATTTGCGCATCCAGAAGTAAGTCGTCGGACGTACCTATATCCTGAGTGTCGCCAGAAAGGCAAGCAATTATAACGAGGTCAAAAGTACGGCCGAGCGTCTCCATTGCCTTCCGCGAAACCACATCGACTGGCCGCCGCTCTTCAGCGCCTTTTGGATGACAGCCTGTTCTGACGGTTTCGTTCGTCAGTATGAAGGACCGTTTGGCGCCATTGTCGGCGTCATCCGACCTTGGACTGCTGGTTGACTGTACAACGCTCAGCAATCCCTTGGCTTTGACAGAAGCAGCAATCAAATCTTCTCTCGAGGTACAGATGGTAACCTCGGTGCTTCGCTTCTGTGTGTGCTGCCATACGGCACTGTCTCGGTTATCCGAGGCAAAGCAAGGCGAACCAGCGAAGATCCACGCAAAAAGCTGCCCCATACGACCGCCACCAAACACACATACTTTGTATGGACCTGCCTGAACAGGTTCAGCGCAGTCTGACGAGGTGCCCACTGGCACAGAGCCTTCCATCGTTGTGCCGTGCGGGTGAGAGCTCGTGATGCCATTTCCTGAAGGAAAAACTTTTAATGTGTCTCGTGTAACCGCACGACCTGAGCACCTGGCAAGCAGCTTCTCGCTTTCCGCGGGCTTCATGAAACTTGAATTGCATGCTTGTGGGAAGGAACCTGCCATCACTTCAGCTCTGTAGGTTTCCACAGCCGAAACTGCAGCATCATAGAGATTTACATATCTGAAAGGCATTGGGCACGCAGAAAAACCAGACGCACTAACCCACCAACATGACCGAGCGTGCAAGCCTTTTAAGCGCTGTTCAAAGCCACAGTTAGGTAATATGTGCGACAACGCAACGTGTAGCGGCTAAATATTTCACCTTTTTGCAAACTTGAATGTTTTAGTTCCGGGCCCACTTAGCCCCAACATGTCGTGGATGACCAGAACCTGGCCATCACACCCGATACCTGAGAAGAGCTCACGCTGTTTGCATAAGCCCCAAATAATTACAGCGCAGTTCACGGTCCGTGAACTACTGAGATTAGGCAAGAACCCATCCCTGCGCTATTCACCCTTGACCGAGTGTAGGGTCGAGCAGACCCTACACTGGACATAATTTGCTTAGAAAGACCGACCTGCTCCTATTCCAATCGTAGGGATGCGAAGAGTTTTCGATATTAGGTCCGCCGCTTCGGCACAGACCATCTCAAGTACTATCAGGGAGGCGCCTGCATGCAGGAACACAAGTAGTTTACGCCAACAGCTGGCATTAAAGCTTGCATCTGCACTCTACGGAATTCTCTGGGATCTGACGAACTTGGCCACGCCTGCCAGGTCAGCAGCAAACCCTGGGATTACTGGAAGCACTACCCACCTGCATTCTGCAGGTCAAGAGCCTGTTGCAGAAGCCTCTCTGCTTCTTCTGCTGTGCCTCCTGTGCACAAACGCAAAAGGCTTGCTCTGCAATGGACGCGTTCAGCCCCCTGCACTGTTTTCGCTCGGCAAGTTTGCGCGCATATTGTCAGCGCACTGTACTGACCTGTGCTCGCAAAGGTCGTGGCCGTTTGTGGAAGCACGCCAATGTGGCAGCATACTGCTGCATGCTTTTGCACCTCCTGCAGAATATGCAAAGATTCGAAAGAAAGCAGCAAACTGAGCTCTGCGCTGATAAATAACTTCGCAACTCGAATGAGCGAAGCTACTCGAATCAGCAAAGCTACCCTTGCGTGGCTATTGAACGAACCCCTTCCGCCCCGCACCCCCCTCTCCCTCCCCCGCCCGTCCCTCATACACATATTTTTGCAATCGTGTCCCAAAAAACGGCTTACCCTAACTATCTCCGGTAGGTGACCTTCCAGCTTAACCAGCTGAATACCCGTCTCTTGGACTACTTTTACAGTTGACGCAACTGCCTCTTCCGGTGTATTATACGTGCCGTAAGGGAGGTCAAACATCACAACTGACCGCCGAGAGCCTGCACAACGATCTGGCAAGAGCACGGGCCTCAGTCACGAGAACCTCTGCAAGGATGCAGATAACTCGAACAATGCTGTAGTAGCTGGGTCCTGATGCATACTGTCGCGTCCAGCTAGCCAAAAAGCCGCGTCCACTTTAACAATACCTCTACGACTTCAAAAACGCACCCTTTACTACGAGCTTCGCGAACAGAATCATGGTGTCTAAATCAACTGCTGTGGTCCGTGGTTCCCCTGCATACAATGCATGCTGAATCGCCGACGAGCGGTTGCGCTCAGGACACGCTAATTGTACGTCCCTCCATAACAGTTAAAAACCAGCATATGTTGGGGAGCTCACCTAGAACAACATTTGCGAGGGAGTCGCCGACGAGCTGGATGTCGACCAGAGCATCATCTGCTACTCTGGAAGTGAATAAGTCGTATGCCTGCATAGAGAACTCGGTCAGGAGATTCTGCGCTTCCTAAGCATGTTGGGCACCACCAAAACTTTCCTTTCTGGTGAGTTCTGCAGCGATACGAGGTGCACCAGGTCTGCCACATTGTCTAGGCCTCGCCCATTTATCTATTCATGCATGCATGCATAATGAAACAGAACTGCACAGATCTGCTTCAATCCGGGCGGAGCGGCTAGAACTTAAAGATTATGCGCAAAGAACTACTATGCAGGTCACTATGCCGCACTGTGCACATGACGATTTTCTCCTGGCGTCGCTTTTTTGCCAGGATCTGAGCAAGTGTCAATCGTTTCATGCCTTGCAGCTGATAGAGTGATGTACATGCTCCTGGTCCCCAAGTGCTGTCATCGGCATCACTGCCGGATGTTACGTAAAAGCTGCTCATTGTCTCGGCGGAATTCGCGCCCACTACCGCCGACAGGCACCAGATTCTCCACCTGTAGCACGGCAAATAATGTAAGGCCGCAGAGAAGATATCTTAATAGGCGTGAGTTGAGGCGTTTCCAGTGTTGGTTCTATTCTCCGATGGAGACCGGCCAAGGGAGGGAAAGCGGCCTTCGCCGGTCCAACCAGCCGTCTCAGCCCTAAAGGTTAGGCAGCGATGCTGTCTTCTTTCGAGTATGTCGATGCTAGGTGACTATACGCCTAGAGAGTATTTATCATCAAAGGTTAGCTGAGCTGGCCCCACGAGACATAGTTACCGACACCTCATATAGGGCTGCATGTGATGCCAGGGACTACACTGTGCCTGAAAATCAAGGAGGGAAGGCACAAATTGTGGTAGGAAAGTAGGATGGAAAACTTTATTGCTGTTAGTTTTTTGGGATTTTGGTGTGCCTAATGCTAACCAGGCAAATATTTTGCTGGAACCATGTGCGCAAGGCGTCGATGCATGTGCGGGAACTAAATAGCTACAGTCATCGTGGGGTAGCTGGGCCCTTGATAACTTTTCTTGTTTCAATTTGTGCTATTACTCATAGCTGCTGGCTTCTCGTAATGCAATGTGCATCCTAAATCGCCGGCTTAACCCCCTGATAAAATGTATCGCTCCCTGTGGGTTCGGCGGCCGCCCCATTTCTGACCACCTCATTAGTGTCGGAGGGCATTACGCTTGTACAGAGAGCAGTACTTTCTCGGCAACAGAAATTCGGATATCTCTCAAGAGGACGGCAGTAGGGAGAGTCGAGGAACGACGTCCACAACTAGTGCTGTTGTAGGTAAGTCCGTAGCCCCCCTCCAATGGATCCCATCCCCCTTTAGACAATGCGTCAATGAAGACTTCCAAGTAAATATTTTCAAGCGCGGCTGCCCCACTGTGAGCTGCGGAAGAGTACAAACTGTGAGTGAGTAGTTCGCAAAAAATCGCCCCTCCGAGGCGGTCGGTCCTGCGTTGCAGCGCCGCTACTGTAACACACAACGCACAGGCAGCTCCAAATGAAGCATGGTATTTCTGTTGTCTGTACGTGCTTATTTATATATGTTTAGCTTGGCTACTGAGGGCCAACCAAGTTTGAACGACCGTCTACAATGTTCATGCATGCATGAAAAGGCGGCTTAGGCATGGTTGCAACTGCACGCGGGTTCGAGCAAGGAGTGCCGCAACGCAGGACAGGCCGCCAATTCTCCGCACCAGCCCCATGAGTTTGTGCAACTGCGCCCCGGAATTCCGGAGACTCAAGGGGAGGTCAGATCCACTTTGCGAAATGTTGTTCCGGGTATATCGACCTCATTGAACCTCACGATGGTCCCCGACTGATTCTGAAGACTATCACCATACCAAACGCAGCTGACCGCAGTCCGCTTTCCGATGCATGCAATGCCCCATCGTAATTAGGTTACTCCTTATGTGTTTCCCTGTAGCCAACGCACAAGCAGACGGAGAAAGCCCTGCCGTTTTTCGGTCCTACTCTTCGAAAAAGGACCAGATCAGGAGGCCCAACAGCTGTGCTCGGGGCATCTAGATACCAGAGGGCAGGGAAGATGCTTTTCGGGCGGCTGTTCGCCTAAGCGTTTCCGCTAAACTGGTGCGCATGACACTCCTCGATCATGGCAAAGAACAGTCACTAGTTTTTGTGGTAACGGTTGCGAGAGGCAAAGCGGGCTTCGAGACTCCCCTGCCGTTGCTTAGCCTAATGCAGGTAAGAGCTAAGTTGTGAAGCTTCCCTCCCTTGAAGGAAAACGAATTATTTCTGTGTAACTTTTCTAGAATTTTTGCGGGAATTCGCCCTGTCACTTCTGTCCAAAATGGAGGTTTGCCAGCGGTCGTACCTCCAGAACCGACTACTCGCCTTGTCCCGTTAAACCAGGCACAATACCAGCGCTTTATCCATCTCGAATGGCTTCTTCCGTGGCCTCCCGTCCTCCAAGTATGGTATCTGCTGCGCTGCAAGGGGACTGCAACAGTTTCTACCACCTGTCGAGATGCATCTAATATGTTTGTTTCAACTAGCATTTTCTTCCCGGGGGAAAATTCTGGCTCTAAAGACCTTTCGAGATGTACTGCGGCATACGTTCGTTCCCAGGTATGCAGGGGGATAATCAAAGAATGGAACACGCTTGAATGAGGAAAGTTATATCGAGTTGATTTCAAGCCTCTGTATCGGTGGATCGTGACAGGGCTTTTGCCTGAAGGGAAGGCATCGGCATCCGGCTGGGCAGCGGAAAGGACGAGAACGCATGAGAGGGTAGAACTCTCCGAGACAAAGGAACAGGAACAGATACAAAGGAAAGTAAATGCCCACTTCTACAACTCTAGCTGAACTGGAATAGAAAGGCTTCAAGTTATCCGGACACAGGAAGTTTGGATATTGTGACTGGGAATGCCAACATCGTCAAGGTAACCAGAAGAGCGAAAACATATCGCAGGGGTAATCGGGAGCTGAAAAAACGAAGGGAACATGCCTAGCGGCACATATCTCCTTTGTCTGTAAAGTGTGTCAGGCAGTTAGAGGCCGCAACACATTTAGAGTATCAGGGAACAAGACGAGAAAGACCTTGCTGGAGAAGTGTCGCAAGGGGTTAAATAGCCTCGCCCCTTCGCAACGGGCGGACCAGTGAGTGGAACGAAACATGACAGCAGCACTGGCAGATCCTCCTTGAGCCAACGCTTACCCATTTGACTATACCATAATGTTAAGGCATCTCTCACTGTTGCCCCCGCTACTTGAAGTATGCTGCCCCCTTGCGTCCAATAATACGGCTCAGGGCAACAATAGATTTGGATACTCCCCATATCTGCTTCTGCGCCTCAGTTTCCAATGTAGTAGAGGAACAACGACGATTTTTCAAATTGTGAGCTACATGTATGGGCTCAAAATGAAATGGGCGCCCGTAGTATGGTGCAAGGCATCCACCCTGGAAAGTTCACCACAACTCGCTCCCATGCATGCTGTGGAAAATTCTTTGGGAGGATCGTATGCTGCACCTCCAAGGGATTTTTGTAGTGTCTGCGTTCAATGAGACGGCACCACCTTTGCTCTTCCAAGAGCATCAGCGCCACCTACGGCAGTAGATGGCGCCGATCGAATCAGTGCATCGAAGGAAAGAAGGTGAAAAAAACTACAATGCATCGCAGAGACACTGCTAAAGGAGACGAAAACTTCGGAGAGTAGCGGGAGAGGGTGCTGCTGGGCGGATCCCGTCCTCCCTCCCAGCAGCCGCTGAACGCTGTGCTCCTGTGATCAAAGTACAGGAGTGATACCACGCCCTGTCTGTGGAACTATTAGCTGGGACCATTGAACCAAGTCGCTCAACTTGTGTGCAACCAACGATTTTCGTACGGTGCGGAGCGGGAACCTAGATAGGGCGCGTCGTCACCACCAGAGTTAATTTGTGGTAATCTGGAAGTCTAGAGGTAAAAGATCAAATGTGCTATCTTTGGTGACGCCATTTCAAACTTCCGTAATATTAAACGCTCCACGTCGGTTTACCAAACCCTTGTGCTTGAAGAGAGCACGACTAGGAACGAATCTTCACCATGATGCGTGGGTTGGGCAGAGGTCTTCAAAAGGCAGTTTGCTCCAGCCCTAAGCTCAAGAAATTTTCAAACAGTGATAACCACCAGGACAGCTACACTCTGGTGAAATTGGTTGGCTACCCCACGAAGCTGGAAAGGAAAGCCGAAATCGATTCTGTACGCAGGATGTGGCTTGAGCAGAAATACAAACGATGATATTGGGATTGGACCAAAACTTTGCATTAGCGCGTTCCTCAAGGCTAAAGCCACAGACCTTTCCCGCTCGTCTTCTCAGGCCCCAAGCCCCACCAGATCCCAAGCCCCAAGCCCCAAGCCCCAAGCCCCAAAGCCCCGAAAACACAATCCAGCCCAAACTGAACGATTAGCCGCCTATTCCAAAGTGCCACCTTTCCAAAGTTCCTAATTTGGCAGCTATCGCCTAGGTATAACTTAAAATGCGGGCAGTGAACTGCGCTACTTCAGCGGAACGCTCGCGTCGCCCTTTGCCCTGCTGGCTGATTTGACTCTCTTGGTGATAACGTCAGGGTATGCAGGGGAAGTTGGAACAGTTACATATAGACATATAACACCAGCGAGGGCAAAACGGTTTCTCCCGGCGTAAAAAGGCCTGTTTGTACTCGCTCGTCTTGAGGGCGTGACGGTCCTCCCCGAGGCCGCTTCACGTTAGGGAAAAAACATGAATTGCTCAAACCTACGTACGGACTGTACGCACGGCAACCCTGTCGTGGGGGCTCGTGCTAGGAAGATGGAGCAACGCCTGCACTTAGAACGCTTGAAGGCAGTAGTGGCAAACGTAGATAATGCGAAGCCTTTCATGGGTAATACAGAGCAGCAGCAGAAACGGCCCCGAAAGTCATATCAACAACGTTCAAAAGAAAAGATGCAAGCACATGAAAACTTCAAGATGCTGACCACGATCGCTGCGACAATGAACCGTCCGTGCCGTCTGCCTCCACAACCAGTCGCAGCGCGAAGCCTTAATATTGGCTTGAGACGGAGAGAACATTGGAAAATAGTTAAAGAAAACCAAGTAAGGCGCACGCTTTACTTTAGATGTTTGCGGATGGTAATTCTATTGTGGGCTAGAAATAATCTGACTGGTTTTCATTAATATTCATCAGCAATGTAGTGACAACATGATTTGTTCCGCGCCTGAAAGCAATCCACAGAAATCTGCTGGAGGCCATGCAAAATAATCTGCGCCACCTGCAATTTATGGGAGTACGGTTGGGCCCTAAAACTCAAATAGATATGGATGTCGGCAGTTAAACTGTCAAATACGCTTGCGAGCGATTTCAGAAACTGCTTGAGAGGCTAGAAAAATCTAAGCCTCTTGTGGTCACGGCTTCCCAATATCGGCAAGACTTTGCAGAGCATGAGCGCCGCCTAATGCTCTGCAGCTACAGCTGCCGTAGAAAGAAGGTAGAAGGCCCAAGGTCTCCTCAACCAGCTTCACGGCAAGAAGGGCAGCGTCGCAGTGGCAATGATGCTCCTAGGCGTCAAGGGGCTGAGTATGAACTCCGGCATAAAGTATGTTGTGTCAGGCATTTGTGTGCGTGATGTACTGATATGTATAGACCTGCTGAACGTGCGCCAAACAACCGATGCGCTTCTTTTCCTGTGGTTCCGCATCTACGCTCATTCTGTTGCAGTTGGCAGTCAAATGCTACAAGTGCGTGGACGCTCCACATACTTCCTCGGCAGATGCTGAACATCGTACTGCTCGTCCCTCAGCATCACCAGAATCGCTTACGAAGCAATTCAACCAGCGATGGAGAGAATTTAGGTGTTACCCTGCGTCAAGACAAATGTGGGCTCCGCCTAGGGTTTTTGTCCCGAGCGACCTGCCGAAGCCGCTCAGCCCTGGTGTATGAATGGAGCCCGTTGTGCATTTGAGTACTTAGCGGTACAGTTGATGGCTCTGCTGCTTCAATGCATATAAAGCAGCAGTTTCCTCGCCCTACTTTGCTGCATGCCTAATGAAAGAGTAGGGCGAGACATGGAGCAACTGGGAAGAAACAATGAGCCACCGGTAAAGAATTATTTATCGTGGCGATGCGTGGCCACGCCATTTTCAAGACCTCGTTGCCAAGCAGCGGAAAAGCAGTGAACTGTTCCCGACATCATACTTAGGTCGTGCAGCCTCTTTTCTAGGTACTGCCCAAGCGTAGCTTCTACCTCCACCAAGTACCTTCAGCCCCACTTATCTAGACGTGGTTTGTCCCCCCCAAACGCAAGACTGTTCCACTCCTCCTGCATTCTTCAGGCCTGTCAATAATCCAATATAAGACTACGTTCGCACTAGGCTAATTCCTCAGGTAGCATCTGTTCAACCAAAGCATGTGCTTCATGCATCCTCCAGGACAGTTCCTCCTAGCAAAAACTCAGTGCCAACGTGCGACGAAGTCAAATTACCTCTCCCTGACAGTAGAAAACCTTGCGGTGACGTTGCTGCTACTATTGCCCCCAAAGATTCATTGTGAAGCTATTGAGCAACAGATTCCGAAGCACCTGCAGGTGCAGCTCCAGGCGAGTTTTCGTCGTGCATGCACGCACTCCGGGTGAAACTCCCACAGAGATCTAATTTACTAGTGTCTGGTGGTGGAGATTGTTGAATCGCCGAGCAACCCTCATCTCGGCCATCAACGAGGCGGGGTGCTTTCTCGCCTGAAGGTGAAAGCTAGCCAAGGCTCTATCTTTTATGAGTAGGCCTCATATTATCTCCGCGAGATCCACACTTCCACTCGTTGTTTCCCCAGCCCGCTACGCGTGACTCTCTCCAGTGCACAGCCCAGCTGTGTACTATTATTATGGGGGCTCCGAGTCGAGCACCCGGCTTCAGCTCACCAAGGACTGATACTTCTCCATGTAGTGTTCTATCTATGGCTTCCCCTGTTTAAGCTTTCTTAATTTTGCCGCGGCTTGCCCCTTTGCCCAAGTCGGAGAAAAACATCCCCTGGCATGCTTCGGAAATGTGGTACCGTTGGTTAGAAGAATTTCTTCAGATGCCTACCCCCATGGTAAAGAAGATGACAATAGCACATGCAGCTCTTCCGGCGTATTTTTGAAACGAGCATACACTTTAATAGATGCACGGAAATTCTCCCTTGCCCGCCCATCAGACGCCCTTCATATTTGGACGGTCAACTAGAGCAGACGCAGTGTTCAAAAAAAATGTTCGCGGAGGGGACATCTTCCGCTGGATGGGTTGCGCGTGCTGCTCTCACTTCAAATGTGAAGATCTACCAAGCCGCTGGCGGCCCCACCGCTGCAGGCAGACCTTGATTGACCCCCAGTACTCAACGGGGGAAAAAACCGTGTCTTTGAGAAAGATCTGCTGGAGATTGTCGATAAGAAGTCTCCCCTTTTTCGAGGAAAGCGCCTCCCCAATTGCTTAGCGCTGTACATCAACCACATCGGCTGTTTTGGTGAGGCTCGCAGCTAGTGCCTGCCCCCTTCAGCCATGCGGTGCGACAAGGTGCAACGAGAATTATCCAGCTTACCTGAAGACCGTCGCCAGTTGCAACGCGATCAAAATATTTCAAAATTGGAATTCTGAATGGCCAGCTAACCCCCTGTTCAGTTTCCAAGCTTCCTAAGAACAGCTGTACCGAGGCATGGGTTAGTGCAAGGCATAGAAAAGCCCAACTTTTTGGATCCATGCGCTAACGCCGCAGACAGTTTCAAAGCATCTTTTTGGCCCTCACTAGCCAAGCTTCATGTACGTAGGAGCATGTGCACCAACATCAGAGATACGACGATGCCACGGGGCAGGTGCAGCAGCGCGCTTATTGGGGCAGTACATACTGGGCTAAAATTATTCGTTACAGTATGTACGGCTCTCACGTTGAAGCCCTGCCAGCGCATGCGGCGTAGAATCCTTCTTAGCCTCAACACACTGACAGTTCCGTTGCTGTGGAACAGACAAATGCGTACAGCGAATTGCAGAGTGACGCCTGATATTCACAGTTCCAGGTGCGACTATGGTTTCTTTTGCATAGGCTTCGTATGGCTCATTGTTTGTCCTCATGCACATGGTAACTTTTCCTAAATGCCCTGGATGCACTATCCTGAGTATTTACAAGGGTGGGGGGGCGGTTCGGCTGAGGGCGCGTTTTTTGTAGAGCCACTAGGAAGCTCGGGTCTGAAGGAAAATTGTTGAGAATTGCTCAGGTGCAGAGTGCATTTTCCCCTTGCCATTTACATCTCGCGCATACTGCGGAGAAGGGAGGCCCTTGGATCCATACGCCTCAGAAACCGAAGCCTGCCGCTGGGCGTCCATTTGTTAGCCGCTTGGAATAATTCAAAGTTGCAGCATTGCGGTTAGTGCGCCTCCACCAAAGGCCGTTTTGTGTCAGGTTGCAGCTCTGTATCGTCCGCCTGCGAGAGGCAGAAGAGGAGGCAAGCCACAGTGAAAAGAGGTGCAGTCAAGCAGAATATGTGCATGCATGCGGCTAATGATGCAATGTTCTAGAAGAGCACGTCAGCCTCGCTACCAAAAAGAGTACGTCACCCTTGTTTCCTTTTGGACTTACCTCAAGTCTCGCCTTCTTGCTCGCTGCAAAGTCCGTCAACGTCGGTACCTGCGCGATGGAAATAACAATTGTAGGGTCCACCGGTCTAAGTGGCTCGTACATTTGCACCGAATGCCAAGAAGCAGCAGTAACGGTGTCAACAGCAACGCCAGCAAAAGACAGCATAAGCAGCAGCAGCAGAGCGAGGCAGCGTACTGCGGCTTTGAGATGCTGGAGCAGCAGCAGAGAGAAGCCGTGTGGATCCAATGTCTCTACCCGGAGCGCTGTGTACCGCATGCGCTGTTCCCCGTTATAATTATCGAACTCCGCCTTTACCGTAACTCTGAAAAAGCTCTAAAAGCGAGCAAACAGGCAAACCGCACCCACAAGCAACCGAAACGGACCCTGCAATCAAAGCAGATGCATTGCCGGCTAACAGACCCTGCAGCAAGCAAGCCCCTGCCAAAGCCCTTTGCATATAGCGTAATAGCACTGCGTGATGAGGCGCTATTTTTCGCCCGACTTTGAGAATGGAGTGCCAATCAAAGAACTCCTCTTTCCTCTCAGTGTTCCAACACCGCACTTCAGAGGCAGGACACCCTAGCAGGGATTGCCCTGAGCAGCAACAGCACCAGCAGCGGCAACAGCAGCAGAAGTTACTTCAGGTAAGAAACCTTGGCTGAGCTGCTCACGCAACCAGTTGTACAGACAAATACTAGCCCGACGCAACAGCAAAAACGAAGATAAGCAGCTCAACATACCCATATCTGCAAAGCATCTGCAGCTCAAAGAGCCGGTACTGTCGATAAAAGAGGCAAGCAGCATATACCTCCAGTCGGGCGTCACCTGCAACAAGTACAAACATCAGCCGCTGCAGCCTCCGCATTGCGAAAGGCAGCTTCCCTCATTTGCTGCGGAGATTGCCTGCCCGCCTGGTCTGCTGCCATCGTGTGACAAGCATAGCCCCTAAAAGGAGTAAAGGCCAATAGTCAACAGTGCAGGGTGCCGTTGGATTACGTGGTTTGTGCTGCAGGGAAAGCAAGAATATTCATTCTCTGCATCTGCGTGCAGCTTCTTCCTACATGAGGGGCAGGCAGCATATGTGTAGATATCCTGTTGCTGCTGCCCCTGTTGCTGCTGCTGCTGCTGCTGCCTCGGCTTCCAGTACACACGACGCACTTGAGCAACGAAAGCGTAGATCCCAGGCTGCAGCAGCGAGAGCGCAGCACAAAACTCCAGCGACACTCCAACTGCACAGCCTAAAACCTAAGTCCTATGCCCCATGAATCAGCAGTTGTACTGGATGGGCCTCCACCGTATACGCCGCGTGAAGCTGCCCACCTCATTTTTGTCTTTAATCTCTTTTATGCCCAATTCCTGCACGGGCTTGCGCTCACTGGGAGCCCCATCACCCAACGGCCCCCCACGAGACATACTGAGGAAGGACAGGGTGCTGCCTGTCTGCAGGCACAAAGGAAAAAAACAAATCCTATGCCCGCAAAGGTACAACATTTCAAAACCGCATTCCTGTTATATCAAGGCCAGCTGGAGGCACCCCGTAGTTGTGCTGCCGAACCTCCTGCGGTTGCTCTTCCGATGAATACCGCTATCGCTAAGCTTATCTGCGGCTACAAGCATTCAAACACTTGTGTAGACCGCTGATGCTGTCTCCTTGTTAGATAAAACGGGGATCGTCCACAGGCAAGCACACTTGCGTGTCGGCCTTACGGTGATGTACCACTGCAACATTTCTGCCGCACTGGTTTCTTCTTCAGCAGAAAGAAGGCCTGCGCCTGCCTTTAGTATTTGCGAGGACTTTGTTGTGCTGGCGCTTCTAGCCCCTCGCCAGTCTCGGATGTTCAGTGCCGTGAGCCCATAAACCTGAGGAAGGGCTGTCGTCTCAGTTATACAGTCAACCTACGAAATACACGCAGTGCCGCGCCCACTCCTGTAATGGGCAGCGAACAAGCTATGGTGGGGTTTGTGGGAGTCAAGACAATAAGGTGCACTGCAATGCAATGGTGTGCACTGTATAAAGTTCACAAGTTCAGCATTCAAACAGACGGGAGGCTGGAAGAGTGCAGGTTGTACACAACACAGAAAAAGGGCTCCCATCAGCGGACGAATTCAATGCCTCGATAAGACAGAAGTACCCTAGCTGCCAGGTCGGGCCACTGCCTGCCCTAGGTGGATGTAAGCGAGATCATAACTCCGCGTGAGAGAGTGTATAGGCCAAACAAATGGACACTGATCGGTACAGACACAAAGGCAAACCTGTTCTAGGAGGATATGCAGACACTACGATGTATGGACAATCTGCGGTATACAGGCTTGTGCAAGTAGGCATGAAGTGCTGTTTTGTACAGACACTGCTCCAATAGAATGCCTATTTGTGAGACCTCACTTGTTCGCCCCACAAGCTTATCTCCATTTCCATTTGGGATTTGTCCCGAACCTTCAACACACGGCGTTTGAGCTCCTCTCCGCTGCTCCTCGCGGTGACAGAAGAAATAGGCTGTATTGAGTTCACACATAGAACCCAGTGTCCCACCTCAAAAAGCAAAGTTCTAAAGTCTTGTGCCCACACACTCTACAACGAAGCGCTTGCAGCAGCAAACATAGCCGAAGAAAAAAAGCGCATCACTTGCTGCTAAACTGCTACGGTCTATTTCGACGCTGCGGGCCCCCTCTGGCCCTCACCTGAACCTCAACGACGACAGCCAACACGTCAGTAGGGAATGGGCACTCTCGAGTGGAGTTGAAGATATTCCGGAGAGGCATTGAGCACAAGCTGAGAACAGCAAACCCTCTGTACAACGCACCCAAGCAACTCCAACTCAACCCCGGGTACTGGCGAGGAAATGGAGGCTTGGCAACTCATATCAAGGTATAAGGTAATCGGGCGTTCCCAAATTTGCATGCCTTTCATGAAACCTAAATTTGATTTATCATCTCATTTAGAAATCTTGCCTCCTTTTGGCGTGTATGGACCCGTCGTCTTCTGCCGGCTTGATGTCCGCCTCCGCTGAGAAGGAGAGTTCATAGTTATTGCTGAGAGTTGAAAACCGCTTGTTCGCCACGTTGACTCTGCCTCTGCAGAAGCAGTACACCTGCAGCCCAAAACAGCGCTGAACAGACGCATTTTGTGCTGCTGATGCTCTTGAACTGTCGCGCTTTCAGCTGTTTAGCAGCAACAGAAGCGAGATGCCAACCCTGCATCACATCTCATACATTTTGAAGAACAGCGGAGGTTCGCTACAGCGTACTTTGCCTTTCTCCAGAGCCCCGTGCCACTTTTCGGCTGCGTCACCCCAAAACTTGGCGCGGATGAGATCGCCCTGCAGCAGAAGAAACCGGTGTGAGTGCATGGTTCTCAAAAGGGGCACGAGTCATCAAGAAAGAGGTGCATCAGACGGAAAGCTGTAATGAAATACGTAAAGAAAGCCGGTTGCGAAAGCAAACAAGAGCCTACTGCAGAATCTGTGACGTCAACGTGGAAGAATTTGCTGTTGTTCTTCGTCGTCTGCAATGGGCTCTTGTCCACAACCCGCGCCTTGATTTGCCAGCGGTGTACGTACGGATTAAGGGAACTAATGCTCAAGAACCTCCTGAGCACACACACGGCGGCCTTTTCCAAGCAGCTAGTCATCCAGTGTCAGCACAGACATAGAACAGCTTGGCGCAAGGAAGCAGTCATCGCCTTCTCACTCGCTAGGGGGACCACCCGAGTCCAGCATCTTGATAGCAAGAATAGGATGAAAAGATTTGTCTAAGTGGAGTATTCTCCTTCCTCTGTCTTGAACAGAAGACGTGAAAGAGGGACCTCCTACTACAGTCAGCACGTCAGAGGAGCAAAAAGCGGGCAGCGGGAGGAGTTGCTGTACGGATTATTTACTAGCATGCATCCAACTACTCCCTCTGACTGAAACAACGGAGAAAAAACCAAGCACAGAGGACGAGAACCTCCCTGGTAACACACGAAAAGTGGAGTCGGTCGTCAGTAAGGTTGTGTAGCGACGGCGCAAGTCACTGGAGGCCCCAAACACTAGACCCAAGATAGATACAAATGACTAAAATGATAATTAATCGACTAATCAAACAAAACAAGTTCTGCAAAACGTATTCAGAATAGCGGCAGCCACAACCACCGCACCCAACCACCTCCAAACACAACTCCCTTGAGAGCCGCAGTGGAGGGGTACGTAACAATAAAAACTATCGAATATATCAATGGAAGCTCTGAACTGAGTGATAAACTCTGACCTGAAAATACCCAAAAATCATTCTTGCGGCTCAGCAGCTAAGCAAGTGGCTTGTTAGATGCTGATGTGCTGGCCGCGGGGGAGAGGGGGTGGTAGTGTCCAATCGAGATTTGACCGTTCCTGAAACAGGGCAATCAGTACTAATATTTCCTCTTGATGGTATGCAAATAGACAAAAGGACAAATTGGCTAGATCGCTTCAAGGATCTAAAAAGTTTCCCAGTCAACACATTCCTTTGTCTGGCACGTCCTAGCCCATTTGATCTTGTTTGATCTCCTCCGGGAAGTGAAGAGGGAGGGGGGGGCGGGATGGGGGGCGGGG